TAAAATCACAACGTGTTTTGCCCTATGAGGCTTCTTCAAGTGAGATAAAACATATACCTAGAAGCTTGGGTTTAAATAGGAGACTTAATGACATAAAATAGTAGAATTTTGGTGCCAAAATGACATCACAGGTCACGTGACCGTGGTCACATGATTTTTATTTTTTTATTTAAAAAACATTTAGATGAAATTCAATACAAATAAGACTCATTTTAAAAAAAATATATATCACTGTAACTTATGGACCTTGATACATATATATTTATACACACACACACACGCGGCGTGTGTTTGTGCTTTAGGGTGCACACGCTAATGCAATAGGTTGCGCACGCCTATGACTATATGAGCAAAAAGGGGGCAGAATTAAGCAAACCAGAAATAATATTAAGGCAAAATCTGAAAGGAGATGTGAAAATAGGAAAAGGGGTGGATTTAATCGGCTAGGACTTGGAGTGATGTACATAGATAGACATATTGAATAAAACAATTAAAAAACATTTATAACATATATGAACATTAAAACACAATAGCTTTGCTTGTTATTTGACCCTATAGACTGTAAGCTCGTTTGAGCAGGGTCCTCTTCAACCCATCGTTCCTGTAAGTTTTCTTATAATTGTCCTATTTATAGTTAAATCCCCCCTCTAATAATATTGTAAAGCGCTACGGAATCTGTTGGCGCTATATAAATGGCAATAATAATAATAATAATAATAATAATAATAATAATTATTATTTGAACCATAGATTTTTAAGATCATAAAAAAATAAAAAGATTGAAATCTTCATTTAAACCTGTCCAAATTAAAAACCCATTCCATTTAATTTCTACCTAAAATATTTTTTATATTCCCTCCTCTTCATGGGATTGTACATTTTGTTATACCTATACATTTTAAACTACATGCATTTTTCTGGTGTGTGGTTTTCATATTCATTTTTAATGTTGCGGCAGTGATCAGATATTCTTTTTTTTTTTAATTTCTTGATGTCATGTCTACATATTGAAGGCCATAGGGGCACTCCAATAGGTAAAATTACATTTTTGAGTTCTATTACACTGGGACTTTTTCTCTGTTAAAGTTTATCCCATGGATATGATTTTTTTCTCATTGATTGCATACTCCAGGAGAAATCTCTCCTGGTCTCCCATTGCTTGCAATTATAACTAAGTGTGCATGTGCATTGGATTATATCATTTTTTCATGTGCAGTCATTCCCGAATAGGATTTTGATTGGTACGTAAAAATATTATATTTTCATATTGAAGAAATTACGTATTCACATCACAAAGACCTTTTGAACATAGTATTTTGATCCAATTTTTTTTTCCCCAGTTAACTATTGTGCAAAATGTTAAACTGGTAAGTTTGCTTTGTGTATTTTTCATATTGTGTATGCTAAAGTACAAGCATAAACATTTATCATAATGGAACACTGGAATAATTATAACCATTAGCCAGTGGCTGTTGGCAGTGTTTTATAGACTATACAGTTTTCACTGTTAGCATCCATATTCTGTGATAATCCTGGATGAATACATATTTGTGCCATGCTACATACATTTGGCATTGGTTGTTATAATTTGGGCTGGTGCCAAAAGTGAGATGCCTGGTTATTACAATTTTCTGTTTTGCTAAACATTTAGACACAATTGTTTGCATTATTGTTATGTGTGCTGAAATCTGTTCCATAACTGCTTGCAGTAAAAAATAATTAACTCCCAAATGTGCTTTCAATTCAGTCTTCCTCTGTCCTTTTTCTTTTCACTATTCTATATTGCACATGATATCCACATTATATTTTAAATGGTGCTACTATGTCGTGCTTGGTTCTA